TTGTGCAGCAGCCAGGTATAGTAGGATTTCCCCTAAATTGAATAAACAGCATTCGGCTGATCTCCTTTCCAATGACCCAGGTCTCTTGTGTGTTCTTTCAATCTCCAGGCCCTTGCCCAACTTGCGTATGGTACAGTGGCGCGTGAACTGTACCGAGTGGGTAACACAGAATCGGGTGTTACACCTGACAAGTGATGTCTCATTCTCAAATCATATCTAAAATATTTTTTTCAAACTTAAGGAACTCCTCCCAGACCTGGCTCATTCACCATGCAGAAAAACCCATCATAAACAACAGCCAGAGATTTCATCTACTCTTCTGCCCCTTGCTGCCCAGTCTAAACTACATACATTATTCAGTTAAGTACATACATATAACACACACATGGTTTTGGTTACACAGTATCTGTTCAAACTAAGCAAAAGGTGAAAGTGTGTCTCCCCTGTCTGCTTCAAGTTGCTGAGAATCAAACCCTCTTTTGCACCTGCCTGCACCGTGGAGTTCTGTGTCTGAGCACTCCCTGCCCAGGTGCATCTTCCAGGCTCCACAAACATTAACTTCGCTTTGTGTGAATCCAGGAATGGAAATCGAGCTGGAGGCTTAGAAGGCAGGCTTTTTGGAATGGCTGCTGAGGCCGACCAGGTGAAGCTTTATTTCCGGAAAGTCTCCATTTTTCTCCTTGGCCAGTCCTTGATGGCATCCTAAAAGACTGAAGGGTTAGCGGGCTTTTCTTCCATGGGTTAACCTTCATTTAGGCAGTCGGGTTTATAGGATGTTTTTTACCTGTTGAGAGCTGAGAGCTTATGAGGGATGCTGCAAAGAATTACTCGTGAGGCAGTATGTCGGGGGTGTCTTCACCTGGAAGACCTTGCCGCGGGCATGGGAATGGGTGGAGTCTGTCTCTAAAGAAACAGTGCTGCTCTCCAGGCGAGGGCAAACTTTGAACAGCCTATGAGCAGAAGAGGGCTTCAGAAATGGCAGAGAGCATATTTGCAAAGAAAGAGAAGAATCGTCGCTGTGTTTATTGAGGACTTTTGTCATAGCAAATGCCATGTGCTGGGGAGTAGCAATTTACAGAGAATTGACTGACAAGCCTTGTCTTTAAGGTCCCTTGGGAATTAGACACAAAACCAGGAACTATTAAGTCTGTAGTAAGACAGTTACAGCAGTGCTGGGGGAACAGGACCAGTCAACAGATTCTAACAGAAAAAGAGGAGAGGAGCAGTGTGCAGGAGTTTGATTTGGAAAGAGATTGAAGGACGAGTGTAAACATTCCAGGTGTTAAGGAGGGGTCTGACATTTTACCCAGGCACACACACAAGGACATGGTGCCGTATATCATTTCAATCAATCCTGTGCTTATGGCTGCCTAAACCATCACAGGTACCACACAGCTCCTGCTATCGGATCCTGGGACCAAGTCATAGCTACTGGGCTGGAAGATGACTCAGCAGTTAAGAGCCATATTGTTCTTGAGGAAGACCCTTGCAGGGAGGTTTGCAACCATTTGTAAATCCAAAGTAATGGGATCCAATGACTGTCTCTGGTCCCCAGGGACACGTTCACTCATGTCTGCACAGACACACATACATACACACAGTTTAAAATGAAATCATTTCTCTGGGATGCAGAGTATTTGCATTTTTAATTATGTGTATATATCTTCCAGAAAACTTGTGTTCTCTGAAGATAAGAGCCTGCTGAAAATCAACAGCTGTGCTTTTGTGCAGAGCACCCAGCTGTTATTCCTTTTGATCTCTGGTCCCTTTAAGGGACAAGCCACGCCCACTCCCAGCCACTTCTGACCTCTCGTTGCCATCTTGACCTCTTTCTGTTCCCTCTCTTGGTGTGTGCACACTTGTTTCTTTCTCTCTCTCCCTTTCTCTCTATCTCTGTCTTTCTTTCTCTCGCTCTCCTTTTCCCTCTCCCTTTCTCTCTCTGTCCCCTCCCCTTTTCTTCCCTAACCCCCTTTTCTTCCCTAACCCCCTGAATAAATATTTCAATCTCATTCTACATGTCCATGTCTCTGGATCCTACCTGCCTGCCATGCACCTGCCTACCCACAGTCAGCTACTCTCCCAGGACGTGCTCCCTCTGCTCTGTGAGCTCGCCGCCTGTTCACATGACCCCTGGGAATCTTGCAGGGACCCACAGCTGTCTCTGCCGGACTAGCGGCTGCTCTGCAAGCCTGCCGGGGTCACGCCAGCATTTTTTAAGGCATATTACCAGCCAGTACCCAGAGAGTGGTGAGGGCACTCAGGAATTAATGATTATCAATAGCTCACTGTAAAATGCCAGTGGATCTGAACGCTTTTGGGGAAGCAGAAAAATTACCAATTAGAAGAGACACAATGAAGTATACCATGCTGATTGGCAATCAGGATCTTAGGTGAGGCTGACTTCTTGTTCTATGCTGGAATTTCATGTTGTTTCATATTAACATCAGAATAGAGGATCTTTAGGTGGGTGGGGTGGGGGTGCATGCCTTTAATCCCAGTACTGGAGAGGAAGAGGCAGGCAAGTTTTGAATTTGAGGTCAGTTGAACAGAGGAAGTTCCTGGACAACCAGGTCTATGCATAGAAAGACCCTGTCTCAAAAAGGAAGAAAGAGAGAGAGAGAGTGGTGCAGGAGAATTGTCTGTATTCTGTCAATCATATTTTAAATAAATGCTGATTGGCCAGGCAGGAATTATAGACAGGAAAACCAGACAGGAAGTAGAGGTGGAGCAAAGAGAATGGGAGTATTCTGGGAAGCAGGAAGCTCCCTCCACCACTCCTGCCCAGATCACCGAAGAAGCTACATGTGAGCTGACAGCTGGAAAAGGTACTGAGCCACATGGCTAACACAGACAAGAATTATGGGTTACCATAAGATGTAAGAATTAGTTAATAAGAAGCCTGAGCTAATGGGCCAATCAGTTTATAATCTTATGGAGTCCTGTGTGTGATTTTCTTTGGGGCTTGCCGGTTGTGGGGTACTAGGCGGGACAGATACCCCAACAAGCTGGCCCTTCATGCTGCAAGAGAGAGAGAAGGAAGGAAGAGATGAAGGAAGGAAGAAAGGAAGGAAGGAAGGAAGGAAGGAAGGAAGGAAGGAAGGAAGGAAG